AAAGCGAGGTGAGAAGATTATAGGGGATAGCTCCCAGGGAAGATAGTACAAATTTTCAGACACCGCCGAGTTCAATCCTCTTGAACTTTGCTGCCCCTGAGAAATCGCAGTAGGAGAACGATTATAAGGAGAACTGTAGTTAACCTTAACCGAGCGTTTACAGCTTGCTGGACATGGTTCTAAATCAGTGCCCCATACCAGCCCCGCACGCGGCGTATACTCTAGTGAATTCCCGTTTTCTTCAGCGAGGTAAGGCTCCTGGCGCCTTGGAAAGTCCCCAAGAAACTCTGACAAACTAGCGGTCAGCGGCCGAGAAACCTCGGGGTTGGAGGGAGGAACGGTGCAGCAGCCTACTGGACACCCACTGGGTGCAAATTCGTGTTGTGTCAGGAAAACGGCGGCCCGTTTCGCTCCTAGCGAAAACGCCAACGGAGCTCCAGACGGGCGCGAATCACGGTGCCGCGACACTGAACCGGCTGGCCACGAACGGAGCGGTGCTAGGACCGAGAAGACGACGGCACATAGGACCCAGGACCACGCGAGGAAGAAGAGTTCCCTTTGGCGCCGTGAGGGTGGCGGCCAAAGTGAAAGCGCCCGCTCGGCGCTGCTGGCGGAAGTGCGGCTGAGAAAACGCGGACTGGGCGGCAGGAACCGGGCCCCGCGCAGCACCCGCGGCGCGCGGAAAGGGGCGCTAGCGCGGCCGAGACCCAGCGGCGCTCCTCCGCTCCCGGGCACAGGCGGCCCAGGGAGCTGCCGCTGAGCGCAGACACACTCAGGAACTCGGTAGAAAGCTACACGTAAATTAAAATACTACAAATGCATAAGAAATCCTAAAATGAAGATACAAGTGAAAACAAAACAACAGAGCAAAACACACCGGAAAAGAATTTTTACAAGCCAACCGTTCAGAGAAACTAGCCCTCCAAGAAACAAACAGCAAAACACCGTTGAAAGGGGCAGTCCTAGGATTAGATGATCGCTGTCACTCTCGCTAAATCGGTGTTTGCCACGCTCCAAAGCGCATCCCCGGGCACACTCCGGCTGGCATGAGTGAAATGGGCAGCATAGCTAATGCGGAACTCGCTATTTGAAAATGGCTCAAAGCAAGTGCGTTGCTGCCAGCCACCCGCTGCGAGGGATAGGGAAGGCAGCGGGGCTGCGACCCTGAGAAAGCTCCGGCTGCACTCTAGTGGAAACTACTTCTGAGTAAACGCCGGCCTAGGGCACTTGCCGGGGCCGCGACCGACCAAACACTGGCACAGAGCGCCTAAGGGTGCCGGGACCCAGCAAGGCGGGCACAGCGCAGATAGCGGCGTTGTGGCCAAAGTCAAATGTCCGTTTTGGCGCTTTCGAGGGTGCTGCCACCTAGAAACTGCGGACACTGAGAACTAAGCCGTGCTCGCACCCGAATGATGGGAGTTGCAGGTGATAAGATGAGGTGAATGAAGTGGGATGAAATGAAATAAAATAGAAACCAGGATTGAAACCCCCCCTAGCAAACAAAACCGAATAAGCCACGTAAACAAAACTAAATCGAGTTTATTTCAAAACATAAGGGTAATTTAACTCAAGCTATTTCTTGCAAATGCCTTTGAAAATCATTTAAAAACAAAAACAAAAAACCCTTGTCTTCCTGAAACGGAATAAGATAATCACTTTAACCAATCCCCTGCCCTCTGGAAACCTCCATTGTATTTAATACCAATCATTGTAAAGGTCAAACAACTTCCTCTTGTTTATTTCATAAGCTTCCCGGAGATGTCAAGCCTTTGAGCTTCATACGAGTTTTCAGTTTGAAATCTTCATTTTTGCGAACAGTTTGTTTCTTCCTCAATATCCAGTAAAACTCTGAGTTTTCTTTTAACAATTACTGTCGTTAAAAGTAGGATGGAAAGACGACCCATTAAGAATCCGGAGGCTGGTGAGTAACCGCTGCTGAAACCCATTGTGCTCACTGATTTGTGACTGATCTGGGAACCCAGCTCTACTCCCTTTGTGTTGAGCTCTCCAGATCTGTTGAGGGACCTTTGTGGAAGCTTCTTGGTAAGTCACCCTGCTCTGTTCAAAAGGGGGAAAACTCGTGATTCCATGGTTTTTGAACCGCTGTTGAAAAACGGGCAGAGTTAAGTTGCCTTAGAGAATCTAAAGGCAAAGATGGGTTCTACTTGGTCCAAAACGGGAAATACAATCTTGTGCCTTTTGGGAAAATGGGTGAACTATCGGATGATTAAATTTAAACATAAAACTCTCTCTCTCCCTTCCTGCACCCCTTTCGGCCTCCGTTTTCCCTCCCTAATGTGCATCTGTATCACACATCAACCAGACCTCCTC